GGGGGGAGTCAGAGAGGCAGCAGAACTGATTGCTTAGGTCAGTGGTACCCCAGGGGCCCGTGCTGCAGGCAGGACGACTGCCCAGATGTGTTGACTGTCTGCAGTTTCAAATATGAGTAAACTCCGGGCAAACTGTGGATTCAGAGAACTGAATCTCCTACCTAGCAAAGTTAAGGGAAATTTTTCCCATTCACCTTCCAAGCCTTTGGTTTGTCCTAATATTAATCCTATTCATTAAGGGGAAGAGGTATTATGTGGTTTCTAAATGTCCTAGTATAATGAATTGTGGGAATTACACCACACGTAGTACTGCAGTTCAGCAGTCAAACTGGCTTAACCAATGTCATATTTCTTTTAGCCGATTTAACACTGCATTGTGTCAAATATTCCTTAGATTTTGGTGCAGAAACACGTGTCCTTTTTTAACTTGTGACTGATGAGTTTTAATTTTGTTTCCTTTTTAGCAACATGCAGCTTGGATCATCCCTTTCTTCTGTTACCAGATCTTTGACTTTGCTCTCAACACCTTGGTGGCCATCAGTGTACTTGTCTACCCCAGCACAATTCAGGACTACCTCCATCAGTTGGTAAATCACTTGATGTTCACAAGCCTTTGGGGGCAAAAAATTCTGCAAGGTGCACTGTTTTTCCTGTATTTCTAGTTGCCTGCTGACTTCCTATGAAGTCCTTGAAAAGTCCTCTCGGTCCTTGCTAGTCTGTATTCAACATCCTTGCAAGGTTACATTACTAACTTACTACAGTATTTGTGTAGAGCTCTGGAGTTCTGCAATGTCATGGAAGCTCTCAGCACCATTTCATTTAGAATAAGACACATATTGCAAGACACATATAATAAGTTAATGCTTTTGGATTCAGATTTATTGTGTTCATATCCAGTGCCTTATTTTTGGTGCTATATCAAGGATGTTTTGTTGCTCCTTTTGATTTATATGGTGGCTTCAACACAGATTTCATTAGAGGGGAGTTTGTTTTAATGTAGGTTTGTTTTTGCTAGAAAATATTTTTTGGATTCTCTTAGGAATGATTAGAGACTCCCTTCTTGCTATGGTCTACTTTGGCGAAACATCCATAGCCCGTATTGCATAAGCTTACAGGATATGATTGCAACTACCTAAAGTAAAGACTAAAGGCCCACCAGCCTCTGTCTCATCACAGGACCACGTGCCATGTCTGGCAGGGTTCAGGTGGAGTTGCAGAGCTCTGGAGAAGCCAACACTGCAGCTGTCTCTGAAAATCTGCCTTGAGAACCTGAATACAGATTAGCTTGGCTCTGAACTTTGTTATGTGGATGGAAAACTAGCTAGGGCAGTATAAATAACAAGTAATGAGAAGCAGCAGGCAGATAAGTAGCCACAAATCTGTGGAAAGAGGCAATGTGTCAAGCCAGCAGGAGCTGGGATGCATAAGGGGCCTGTTATCCTTTGACTTATTTAACACCCGCCTGCATTTAAGAATGATAGTACACTGGAAGAGAAGCAGAGGAATAATTCAAAAGTTTCTCAGAGATACAAGTGGAAAAGAGCAAATTAGAGCCATAGTTTAGCAAGTGTTTGAAGCTGGCAGTGCCACTGGCTGGATCCCTCCTGCCCATCCTTCGCCTGCAGTCCCTTGCTTCTGCATTGGTGCCATCTTTGTTCTTGTAGCAGCACAAGCATCTGTGTGGCTGCAGGAACCACCCAAACTTCCCAGAGCATGAGTAGTAACCAGGTTTTACTCAGTCTTGGTCACTGTGTGAGAACATGAGGGGGACAGGAGCAGGCTGGGAGCTGTGCACCAAAAAGCCCCTTGCTTTTCTGCTGAAAATATGGTGCGACATCAGAAGCTGTCTCACTAGAAGGACAAAGAGCAGCTGGTTCTCTCAAAATGTCTGCTATAACATTGCTGTCATTCCTGCAGATACAAAAAATAGTAGGCCCTTCTGTAGCAGAGTTGCAAGGAGCTGGCCTTGGGAGGTATTGGGGTGGTGCAGCAGAGATTGTGAGCTGTGTTGCTGCTCTAGAGTGTTAAAATCTCTGGTTGCACATATCTTTGTCTTGCTGTTGTAAATCATTTTCTGGACTGTTAATGAAATGCTACAAGACTTCAGGAGTGCTAAACTATCAGTGCTCAAAAGGGCAAGGGGGGTTTCCAAGATAATTATAGGCTGATTAGCCTGACATTGCTACCAAGTGGAATAATAACAGAAGGGCTGAGAGAAGAGTCAATAAAGGATTAGACCAGGGGAATATGATTAATGACTGCCAGCATTGTTTCATGGAAAATCAGTCCTGCAGGCAAACTCATTTTCTTTCACTGACAAGATTACTGGCTTCATCAATAAAGATGGGCAGAGGCATAATAGACTTTCATGAGATGTTTGACTTCGCAGCATGATGCTCAGAGCAACAATAAAACACTAAATCGATAAAGGATGTATCAAATGGATTAGGAGAGGTTAGCTGGCAGACTGCAAAGGGTCATGGTCAAGCTGACCATCTGCCAGTGAGTTTCTATTTTGGGTAGAGGAAAGCATCCAGGAATTGGCAATAGATTTGCTCTCTTCCTGACTTCCATTAATAACCTTGGTACCCAAGAGGCCATTCAGAAAGGCTAACATCAGCCTTGGGAGAGCTTCCCCAGGCTCACTGTCTAGAGAGATCTAGTGGGCAGTTGCAAGTAGGAGCCTAATCTAGCTGTTTTGTGTCATCCTCTAAAAGACCCTATCCCTCCATTGCCCAAAGCGAGCACATCTCTGCATTTCCTGGAGGCAGTACTTGTGACTTTTCCCAGCAAAATCATTTCTAATAAAACTCATGGCTGACACAGATTAATGAAGTAAATAGCACTAAGGATGGAACCATTAACCAGAGTGAGTTAGACTGACTGAGAATCTAAGTTCAGTCGTTAATGTGTGTTACATTGCTATATGCAAAGATACGTAAAAACGTGAAGGAATACATTGAGTGTACAGTATGGCAACTGTACCTGGGATGCAGTGATCCTGCAAGCAGTCTACCAAAACAAGAGTCCCCAGGTTTTTTTGCTGTTTGCAAAAACTGCTCATGAGATTTGTGGACAGAAAAATCCAGCAATGAATAGTAATGGAGAGAAGATTTCCCTTCTCAGTTGGTGATGCAGGTTTCACCTGTCTATTGATGGTGTCTGGCTGTAAAGAACAATGTTTAGAAGTCAGAGAACATGCAGAAAAGTTCCTCAAAAAACTATATAAAATCTGGATACATTGTAGTATGATGAGAGACAATCAGCTTTTCCTGCCTCATTTACTGAGAAAGATGACCAAGAGGTGATGTTGTTGAGTTTTCATATGCAGAATAATGAGGTATTAAAAGGCTGTTTAAATTAGATGTGAAGCATAATGATAATGAGTAGCTAAAAGCTATTCCAAGTTAAGTTGATTTAGAAACAAGGAGTCATTTCTGGTTTATCATTCACAGCAGAGATTAGTGATTGGCAAAAACTACCAAAAGCTGTGATGAATTTTGTACAGTTAATATCACCTGTTCAACAAAAATTTGAAGTTGTTTTGAAGCTGTTCTGCATCTGCTTTGAAGCTGTTCAGGCCTCCTGTGTCTTAGCTGTGATCCCAAGCACAAGTGGCTCAGCAGGAACTCCTTGTACCCTTACCTGGAAGGGCCACATCAGTTGGCAAAAGGTTGTTGCATTTGGCTCAGAGCAAACAGGCTCACTCTGAGGGGGCAAAAGTGAAAGGGAGAGGTGAAGATCACATCCACTGGTATCAGATACTCAGACACAATGAAATGAAACTAAAACCAAGCTTTTCAAATTTTTGGCAATAATGCCATCAATGCAGTGCTAGCGTTCAAATGTTGTTAAACAGACTTTTACCCATGGACTTGTTTCCCTTCCTTTTAATATTACTCATGGTAGAGAGATTTGTCATCTCAGACACTGCATTTAGAACAAGACTGTGGTTAATACCCTTGTCCTAGTAGGTGAGACCTGAGTCACACCAGTTGGGTGTGATCCCTGCTGGTGATTTATAAATAAGCCCTAGAGTCATCTTGCCATCACCCCCTTTGCAGAGGTCTGCCAAGGTAGGCAGAAATCAAGGGCTGTTTTTCTTCCTGGCATTCTTACAGTTTTTCTTCCTCCAAAACTGCTTTGAATTTGTGGAATGGTATTTTAGGGAGCATAGCTCCATAAGGGAAATGAAAAAATCCCAATTGTTCTTCAAATCCATTATTGAATATCTGGAAGAAGGTATGCATTAGGTAATAGAATATATTTGGAATTCTCAGAACACTTTTTTTCTTGCTCTAAGGTGAAAATCCCATTTTTTAACCATTTCTACTTCCCTACACTAGTATCTGGAATAGATTTCAGTCTATCAGTGATAAGTTGCAAGCTACCGTGAAACCCTCCATGTGCTTTTGGCAAGATGATAAATGAGTACCTATCAATAGGCTAGGCAGAGCCCTAGCTGAAAATGTTGCAATTGTAAAATACAGAACATTGTGTTCACAGAGTATTTGGTAATGTCAGCCTATGCTGTCTTCTTCTTTCAGGGGCACAAGTGTCTTTGGAAACTTTTTGTTACTCTTTAATACCCAGTTGTATACAGGTGTGTCCCTGTATTCCCATAAATTGCAAGAGCATCTCAGCGTGAAGGGTCATGTAAAATAAGTAGATGTTGCAAATTTAGCATTTGAACTGTTGCATGGCAACTGCATATGATAAAACTTTCTAAGGGTTATGTTGGACATCTTGGTCGTTATCACTGTCACTAGAAAAACAAAACAAAAAGCTTCACATACAGTAGATCCAGCATGTGTAAAATAAAAACCATTTTGGTTATTGGAGCAGTAGTGCTCTGGAGCAGATTGACCTAAAGCACATTTCTTTTCTTTAGCCCCACTAAGTCTTTGACATATATGGGCTTTCTAAAGCCTTCAAATTAAACAATTCATCTTCTGTCATCTGGTAACAGTATATGAAATGAAGTGGAGGTGGGGAACAGATTGGTCTGCAACTGAGTTATGCAAACTTGTTTTTTATTAAAGTACAGGACTATTACAGTTCATTTAAAGAAAATTTCAAAAGTATATTAAATAGCCTTACTATGGGACTACCTGCAATGCTGTTGTCTAACAACTCAGGTGGTATCAGTCAGGCTTTTAAATCCTAGGGGAATCATCTAGAGAACATAAAAGAGATTAAACCTAAAGAAATTTTTCCTATAAACTAAAACTTTAAAAAGGAATATCATTTCTGTAATTTTTAATGCCATTTTATAATTCTAAAGAAGTACTACTAACTTCATAACAGAGCTTTAACAATTCTACAGACACATTACCATTTTTCTTTCAATTTTGTAAGATTCTGATACTCAGAGGACTCTAACTGTGGAATAAGAATCCACACCAAGGCAAAGGAAAACATGAAAGGTTGTGCAAGCAGGCTGAGGGAATGAGAAAGGGCTTCAGCCTTGGACTTTTTATTGTGGTGCATTTATACAATATTGATGCAGTAGAAATACACTTTCCATGCAAGTTTTAGATTGTTTTTAAGTGTCTAATGGAGCTTTGTTATGTATAAGCAATAATTTTTTAAAATTTGAAAGTTTACGAGGTATATTACTATGCATGCAGCTTTCTCCATGTCCGGGACAAGGTTATAAGTGACACTTTAGTTACTACTTTAGCATGTCAATGCCACACCACTACAACTACATCTTGTCTGTATAGAAAATTTCATCATGTCCTGCTGCCAAATCACTCCTGTATTTCCAGTGATAGGCTTGATTCTTCCCACCCTGCCATATTTCAACCTCAGTTTCAGCAAACCTTGCACAACATTTGACACCGAGCTTTTCTCAGAAGCTGCAGCACTGAGACCAGTGCCCAGGGCTTTCCCAGCAGCAGGATTTCAAATATTGGTCTCCCCACAGGAGAGCAAACCCCCAGAACAGGAGCAGAATTTCTCTTCCCACCTCATACACCCACATCAGTGTTCAAGCTTATCACTGCAGCCAGTGGAGGGCAATGGGTCTTGAACTCATCTGAACCACAGTTGGTACCCATTTTCTGTGGAAGTGAATGAGATTTCGAGGCTGGCTACTGCCATGGGAGGATCCCAAGAGCCTCCTGATGGCACCACCTCTACACAGCACGTGCTGCTCCCAGACTTGGCCAGGTCTCATGGCTCTAGCAGATGTTCCTGCTCTTCAAGGTAGTGGGAACTTTCTTGGTCATTTTCCTGCCCACCTTGTCCCTCTGCAAATCCCATTTGAGTTGATGTCTGGAAATGGGCTGTTAGGTTATGGCCACGAGCCCAGCACGCACTCATCCAGTCTTTGACAGGTGACTGGCTCCCAAAAACCAGAGTGTAGGAGGACCAAAGCCTCATTAGGAGTTTTTTATTACATTTACAAATTCGTTTGACTGGTTTTATTAATGGTAGGTCAGTACTAAAAAAATGTTTGGGGGCAGTTATACTGTAACTGTCCTTCACTGACTGGACTTTCTAACCACTTAAATGTCCTCCCTCCTGCAGGCTGTGGCATTAATACTTAAATTTTCTGCATATAAGGTTTGTGTTTATTTTTCAGTGCATTTTTTCTTGGCATATACTCTTGATTTCTTGGTCTCTGAGTGACCACATCCACTATATTTAGCAATAACCTCCAGGAAAAAAAAAAAAAAAAAAAAAAAAGGCAAAGCAGCAACTTATTGAATTATAGCAAGCTAGATTCCTGCAAAAATGCTACCTTGACAAAGAAGATAATGTGATAAAAACTTCTGCCATGAAATTCAGTAAAGGAACAGAAACATTGCTGTCAAGAAGTGGAAAATGTGGTTATGTAACATTTATCTGAAACATTTACAGCTGCTAGTAATGTTAACCACTGAACAGTTCATGGAAGTGCTAAATGAAGAGCTATTCTCACTAGCAGCTGTGCAGAAAAAAAAAATTTCCTGATGCACCGGGTCAAGTGCTGGTATAAGGGGTATTAAAGGGTTATTCTGCATTTACACCATCATTGCCAAGAACATAGTTGTAGCTTGGTCTAGTTAATTGTCCTGACAAGGATGCAGTGCTGGCCTGGTTAAGTAATTAGACCTGTGAGGGAAAACGGGGTTGTGTGTGGATGGAGCTAATGCATTCAGTTATAATAAGCTACTGTTGCAGCAGAGCTATCCTTTGTGGAGAACAGCTCTGTCTGTGAACAATGGTTTATTCTAACTGAAACAGGAACTTGTGCCCTGCAGTATTTCAAAGCGATTTGGAACACTCATTTTAAATGGTGCATTTTCTTTAAGCAATAACAAATACAGTAAAATTTTAGAGACTGTTTTTCAGCCAGTGATCCTAAAATGTTTCACAATTGTAAATCATTAGAGCCTATGCTAAGTAGGAAGATTAATGTGGGCACCTCCATTTCATGTATGAGATAATAGAAGGACTTGGAGCACATTTCAATTTGAAATCATGACATTGCTTCCCTGTAGAACCCATGCCTCCACAGGATATGTACTCAGATGGCAGGATTAATAAGTGCTCCTGGAGAAGTAGTCCAAATTTAGCCAAAATAAGATGGAGCAGAATAGTGTCTTTTGATCAAATATGTAGGTGAAAGGATCATGGTGTCCATCTCTTCCTGCTTTTTACTTTCTAGGAGCTGCCACTGGTATTTGGCCACCAGTGCCCGTATAATGATTAGTTAATAAGCACAGGACTTGCCTGTTGTTGCCCAAGATGGCAAGCTTCCTGCTCCAAAGCTCCCAGACAGATATCCTTTGCTAGTTTGTGTCAGATACAAACCCAGTGTTTACAGAAGAAAAAACAGCCCACACCACATACAAAGCAAAAAGCAACCCCCTAAACCCCCTGGTGAACATTTGGCAGCCAGCTGAGTCTTTGCAATGCCTGTTCCAGCCAGACTTACTGAAACTGGTTATTGGTGCAGAGAGCTCCCAATTTAGTAGATCACAGAAAGTTTTGTAAGCTGTTAATTATAGAGTGCACTTACTGAATGGCTCTTAAATGACTCGTAAGATTAACTTCCACTGTTTTTCTTGTGTTTGCTTATACAGCCCAATAATTTTCCCTACAAGGAAGAGATTATGTCTGTGAACCCTACATGTCTGGTTGTGATTATCCTCCTTTTCATAAGTATCATTTTGGCGTTTAAGGTAAGTGCATTACCTGTATAAAGTCTACTTCTGGTCATGGGTGGAATGTCCCTTGCTTTAGAAGAATGTCTGGCTTTAGAAGAGATCTAGGGACCTACAAACCAGACAGCCTGACAGCTATACAAGGCAAAGTGATAGATGTTACGGAAAAAAAGGCAAAAACCTCATAGACAAACACATAAACATATAGGCCACAATGGGGAAGCACAATGCTTGTAGGGGGAACTCATGACACATACATCCTTTGAAGGAGTGTGTCATCCACTGGAAAAGAGAGAGGCTGTTCATACTGACTCCTTGGTTTTTCAAAAGGTATTTGGCAGAATCTCTCATCAAAGGCTTTAAAAAACACCCTCAGATATGTAGGGTCATCTCACAGACTGTAGCTAAGAAATAGAGAATAAGGATAAATTACCAGTCTTTACAACAGTGAGACCCATGATGTTCAGTACATTCATAAAAGATCTGGGAAGGGGAAGGAAATGAACAACATATTTTTTGCCATGTCATTCAAAATAGGCAAAACAATCAGCCAAGAAATCTTTGCAGAAGGATCTCATGGCACTGAGTGGCTGAGCAATGAAATGGCAGAGAAACTCAGTGATGATAAATTCTAAATGGTGGGCACAGAGGAAGCACAATCTTGTTTCACAGACACTGCAGTAGACTCTGAACTAAGCATGACTTGAAAAGGGGATCTTGTAGCTGTAATAGATAGACCTGTGAAAATATTAGTTTACAGTTCAGTTCTGGTCAAACAAGTAAATCAAATGGTAAGAATATTAGGCAAGGAATTGAAAAATTAGCAATCTAAAGATTTCTTTGCCAGTTGGGATGCCAACCACCTCTGGAAGCATACATTCACTTCTGGTGCTCTATCTCAAAAAGAGCAGGTAAATAGATCCAAACAATCCCTCCTGGGAGGGACAACGTAAAGGAGTAGCAAAAGGGCACAGGGAGTGATGATTTATCTGCTGTTATGTAAACCTCATGGGTGAGAGGTCTGAAGGTGGCAGGTACCAGATGAAGGGGAGATGTAACATTGCCTGGTGCAGCCAGAAGGGGCTCATGTGAAACCACCACACCCAGGTTCGTGGTCCAGTGAGATTGGCTCCAACCCACTGTGTGGGGCAGAAGTTCAAAAGGAGCTCAGAATAAGATCAGACAAATCAATGTATGAGAAACAACCACCTATGGCTCAGTTAGTCCCCTGAGCCTTGGCCCTCTTGGAAAGTATGCTAATATATTTGCCCTCTTTTTGCACCCTTCTGCACGTTTCTCACAGTACAGTGCTGCCGTTCTTGTATTTCTCGTGTTGGGTTTTATTTCAGAATAGTTCTTGGCTTTCTCTGCAGAGCAATTATGCATTAGATTAGAGGAGTCCCTAAGAGCCATGGTGACACCAGGGATGTTGCTTCCAGACAATACCTTTGACAACATGATCAGGGAAAGTTATTGTGATGAAAGAGGTAGATTAGATTATCGAAGCTACTTCAAAATTGAAAAGAAAACCAGACACAGTATTTTAAAGTGATGTTGGAAGTTATATTCTCTTTTCTTCTGTGATTTGGAAATGCAGTTTAGCCTTCTGGCTTTTTATGTTCACAGACATACAGTTGGTTTTGTTTGCATCTTTAAGAAATATGTATGAATGTAACAAATACTTATATCAGGTGCCACAAGGGATGTGCTCTTTAAATTTCTCAGATGCAAGCAGTAGCTTATTTTTACCCCAGGTGGGTCTGGTATTTCATTGACTAAATATGGCAAGGAAGTCTCAAGCTTATAAAAAAAAATGCAACTAAAATTAGAATGGCAAAAATATACTTACTACAGAAAAAAGAAACCTAAGAAATAAACAGTGCAAGACTCATTTTGTTTTAAAGTGGCTAACACATGTTTTTTTCCATGAGTATATGTGGCTCATTCTAACAACATATCGTGCAAATGAGCCACAAAAAAATATGACTCACAGATAAACACATGCTAAATTCTAGTTAGCATTTTCCTTTTAATTTCTTGTGTTTCCAGAAGAGCTGCTATGCAGATTTATGGAATCTGCTCCATGAAAAGAAAGCTGGACATTATCCGATCCATCACACTATCACTGATAGACTTAGCAGATGGTACCACATTTATATACTGAAACTGAAAAGGTACTGCACATAAAAATATGCCTGAGCTCCCTCTCCCTCTGAAGTTTGACTACAAATAGGGAGAGAAACCAAAACATTGTAACCTAGGAAAAGCTACAGTAGGAAAAGCTGCATTCAGCTGGTGGGAAGCATGAAGCAGAATCACATAATTCCTCAGACACATTTGGTATCATAAAGCTTTTATTTTGGGTGAAGCTACACGCTGAGCAGAAATCGATACAGCAGTATTAAATGGTGGGTTTGTGCTTTGCAGTCATGGGATTGTGAAAAGGGAAGGGGGACGAGAGAGGGTAGTAACGAAAGCGAGCCAACTAACCACACACAAGCACTTGTCTTTTTAGTTCTTGGGATTTACTTGGATCTGAAGCAGCTAATGGATATTTCAGGTGGTTTCATGCAGAATCTTTTTCAGAGTAGACCAAAATGTGTTATTCCATTTACTGTGTTTGTCCCGAGACCGGACCAGAGGTACATACCATGAAACATGGTGATTCCTATGTGGCTGAGGAAGGACATTGAGCAGCAGAAATGTGCTTATATACATGTACACAAGACTTCAAATGGCATAGAGCCAACACAGTGGCTTTTGAACCGCGCTCTCCTCTGCAGCTGGTTTAGGGAACAGGCCCTTGGTTTCCTCTGGCCAGCCCCAGCTGCTGAGACAGAATGGTTCAACAGCCCCCTCCCCACCATGGGCGAAGCCCCCCAGGCCCAAATGAGCTAGGCTCAGGTGACCGCAAATACAACCAGAAAAAACCTTCCCCCAGGCTGCCCTGAGCACTCTGCAGTTGCAGAGTATGGCCCCCTCTTCCTTTTTGGCCTTTCTTTTTCTGGAAAGGAGGTAGGAAGAGGTAGTTGCCTGTGGGGCAGCTGAAAGGTACTGCAGTTCAGTGAGACAGGCTGGTCTTCAGCAAACTGAATATTAACCCTAGTCTCCATAACATGCCTATAATCTGCATGTACAAGGTGTCGAGCCTGGAGATGAGACCACAGTGCATGTCCTGATATCCTCAGTAGATGGGAAAGGGCGATGTAAAACGAAGCTCTCTGCTCACCCTGCCAGATTTCGTGTCAGCCCAGAGGGATGTCTCCTGGCTGGGGGAACTGGCACACTGCCCCAGTGTCTGCTACCTTCCTGCAGGGGTGATGGGCCAGCAGTCAGGACCATGAACACAGCCCCAGCAGCCAAGCTCTGATCCCTGCTCCCAGGAATGGCCAACACAGAGCCACAAGGTTGCAACCTGTTCCATGAGAGCCAGAGACAGGTCCCAGCACTGGGCTTGCTGGGGGCAGGGTACTTATAGAATCATCGCTAAAGCAGGGGTCATTTGCTTTAAATTGCATGCCCCAGCATGTGTGACAGAGAACCAACAGATGATGTCCTGGCCCATATAAGGTGCCATTTAACGTGTTGCAAGCCAGTGGTTTGATCATTAATTCTTTTAAATCACAGTATTTCTTTGCAGTTATAAGGAGCAGTTCTTGTACAGCGTTTTTATACTCACGGGATACATAATCTGCTGTGCTGAGAAGATGAATTTAATTGTAGATTTCATCAGCACAGCAACCTATTGTTTCTCCTTCTGCAGCATCAACATGTGAAATACACGTGGCCAACTGGTCTGCCATTAGCATCCTTCCAAAATCTTCATATAATTTTCAGTTTGTGTAGATTTTTAACTCATTTTCACCAGTTACTGAAGACCATCCCAAATCTGTAAATAGAAAATTAGAAGCAGCTGGAGAATAAAATGGGACTCGGTGCAGACAGCTCCTAACCTGGGGGTCTCTGCTGGGTCTGCTGCATTCAGCCTCCACTTGCTGCCAGTGAGGGAGCTGCCCAGAGAGCTTCTGTGGCCCAGATCAGCATAGACTTTTCCTTGCTGTGTTATAAGAAACAGAAAGATACAGCAACCTCTAATTTCCACAAAGATGCTGGTCAGTCAGCTGGCTGGGCACATGTCTGATGAGCAGAAGTCGTGCAGTATGTTACTGTTGTTAAGTTGCTTAACAAGTGCATATGCAGCAACAGTGGCGAGAGGCAGGGTTGTATTCTGTGGGTTTCAGTTCCTTAGGGGCTCAAGACATTTCTCACCATTCAAAGGGGAAGACTGAAAGCTGGTAGAAGTAGGCACAGTGCCTGTTTCCACACTCAGCCCTTCTTGTACACCCATCCTTTCACATGATGGCTACTTGGGGCTGCCCCAACAAAAGGTGTCTGTCAGCAGCCTGTGCTGTGGTATGTGGGAATACCACTAAGGGTAGATTAGGCTGAAGTGACTTAATGCCTTTTATTCAGGGACTATTCCAAATGTGAACATTGGTCTCCTGAGAGAAAAATTGATATATTTATATACTGTGCATCCAGCCACACATTTTAAAACAGTATTTGAAACCTCAGCCAAGTTTTTCAGAAAAAAAAAAAAGGTAACTGAATCAGCAATCCCATTTACAGTGCAGCAGCATCGGTAGAAAATAATGATTAGGAACAAGTTTAAAGAAGAAGTTACAGGTTGAAGAAACCAAGTTTCCATGACTCACAAGTTGCAGGCCAGCAGCACACGTCCAAAGTACTTGGACAAGGACATGATCTGAGCTGCCGCCACTCCCAGCCATATGTGGGTCAGTGTCTCGGGGCCAATTACTTGGTGTGTGCTGGTTCATAAGCTCTTTAATTCAAGGGCTGGAATGAACCTCACCCACTGAGAAACATCCTGTGCATGCAGGAGCAGGGCTGACTAGAGCTAGGGCTCAGAGCTGGAAGAGCTGTAGGTGCTCATTGTGGGGTTAAATGCATTTTATTCACCGCATGTAATGGAATAGGAGCATCTAAAAATAAATCTCCAGGCTGTATTATCTGAAACAGGGCTTCCCTCAGTTTGGAGTTTGACAGAAGGAGTATAGAAATTGATTTGTAAATAGGTAGGCTTAATGTAAAGGGTTTCTTATAGAGATGGGCTGAGTCCCACAGAAATGTACTGTATTCAGTCTCTGTTCTCTACTAGCTCTTATGCCTTAGCATGTTGTATCTGAGCATTGAAAGATACTGAACTACTTACTACTATTTATAATTATCAATGGCATTTTATTTCATTCTGGAAGAGATAGTTCTTCACGTATGTGCCTTTACTTGTTTCAGTAGCCTGGAGCAGGTTTGCATAGCCCACAGCTTGGGCTGTAGAGCCAGTCTAACTTTCCTTTGGGACTCAGCTCACTCCAGAAGCCTTTTGCTCTCTCCATTTGATGGTCAAAAGTATTGTCCGCGACATCTCCAAGTCATGCAGGGTCTGGTAAGCTGCTGTAAAGAAGAGGAAGCAAACTTACTGGATTTCAGCCAGCTTGGCCCTGGTGGAAAAAATACTTCCTGATCTGCCAGCATCAGTGAGTCATGTGGCATCCTGAAAAACACAGCTCATGTGTGACAGCTCTGGAGAGGGAAGAAGCACAGGGCAGCTCAAATGGATAAGAGGCTTTTGGAAGGTCATCAGTGCAAGTGAGTCACAAAAATATGACTCACTCAGAGTGAGACACACATGCAAATCCAATCAGTACTGTCGGTTTAATTTGCACGCACTAGGTTTGTGAAAAAATTGCTATGCAGAACCTGCTAAGTAAAAATATATGTTGGGCACTATCAAAACACATTGTTCTCCTCATCACTGTCATGTGTGACTACATGGGAAGCAGAAAGCTCCAGAGGGAACTGCTTAGTCCCACCAGCCTTGGCCCTAGCATGCTAAGGATCTGACTCCAGCTCCTCCACATGTGTTACTGCCTCCTGCCTGCCTTCCAGTCATTTTGCTCACCTCTGCTGGCCAGACTAGAATCTCTCCTGCTAGTAAAGGAGATGATGGATGTGAGCACTTTGGCCAACCAGCTGAAAAAAAAAAAAAAAGTGGAGACAACTAGTTGCTTGCCAGGCAGCAGCCCTACCCAGAGCAAAGTGAGCTCCAGGAACAAAGCCAGTTAAGTTTATGATCCTGTGGTAGGATTAGTGCTGCAATAAAAGGTTTTTTGCTTTATACTGAAAAAAATGAAATATTTGTAATAGTAATAATTTCAAATTTCAATAAAAACATTTACATTGGTAATTTTCTCTAGTCAGGCAAGAATAGAAAGACCCCACACCATTCCAGTCATATGGAATACATTGATTTAATGTCAGATTGAGTGAAACAGAGTATTGAAACAATGCAGGTAATATACAGGATCACCACATAGTCATTGACCAGGCCTCAACTCACAAAACCAGGAGGGTTTCCTGTAATTTGCTTGATGATTCTTCTGTCCCCAGTGTGCTTCTCCTCTTTTTACCAGGGTTTGCTTCCACTTTCTAGTACTACTTACTCCCAGTTGATGATATTTAAACATCCTTACCATGGAGGAATCCAAAACTCATTTCTGTTTACTTTTTGCTGCTGCCCCTGAGATGTTCTGCATCTGCAGCATCTTCTCTTTTTTTTTTGTCACAGTCTAACTTGTACCTTCATTTTATGTTATAAAACTCACCCCTGCTGGTACATGGTATCCCATGCACAGTAACAAGTGTCTGACTGAACCCGTATCTCTCTGTATTTCTAGAGAGGTGTAAGAAAGCAAGACATCATATGGGATCTGCTCATTTAAGTGAATTGGAAGTTATATGTACAAATGTTACTTTAGCTATATTCAGGCTTAAAGGAACTGCTTCTTTTCAAAACAATTAGTCTACATTAAGTATGCAGTAATATTAAATATCTGGAATAGTAAGCATTCAGACAGGTCTAGACTGCAGTATCTCTGCCTAGATAGTCATAGTGCAACATGAGTATTCATAATCACAGAATGGTTTGGGTTAGAAGGGACTCAACCCCCTTGCTGTGGGCAGGGACTCTTTCACTAGATCAGATTGCTCAAAGCCCCATCCAACCTGACCTTGAACAGTTTCTCTGGGCAACCTCTTCCAGTGTCTCACCACCCTCACTGTAAAAAGTTTCTTCCTCACATCCAATGTAAATCTATCCTCTTTCAGTTTAAAACCATTGCTCTTTGTCCTGTCACTACAAGCCTTGGTAAAATTCTCTCCATCTTTCTTAGATGCCCCCTTTATACATTGAAAGGCCACAGTAAAATCTCCCTAGAGCCTTCTCTTTTCAAGACTGAAGAACCCCAACTCCATCAGTAGGAGGAACAGTGTTGGATTACTCACAGAGCTCCTACACATACTTACAGTCACTGCAACCAGCAAAGTGACTATCCCATGCTTCTATCAGGCTCATATTCTTATTTATGTAAGAATAGGAATGTTCTAACAGAAATGTGTATATATTTTGTTTTCTGCACAGAATAACAAATCCCTTTTCTTTGCAGGGTTACTTGATAAGCTGTGTGTGGAACTGTTACCGATACATTAATGGCAGAAACAACTCAGATGTGTTGGTGTACATTACCACCAATGACACTGCGGTAAGGATGTTAGATCACAAATATTTGTCTAACATTATGCATTAATAACTTTATTTTATATTAATTTCTGACTCCTTAGTCAACCATCTTAATTCATTTGAGCGTCCTCATCTGTTGGTTATGTTTAGACTTGAGATTCAACAGACTGGTGCGCTATGTTTACATCACATCTATTGCTAAAATATTGGGTTTATTTTATGCATAATCTGTTATAGAATATGTGTTAAGCATAAACTACAATTTACCTTGTGGCCCTAGGAATAACCCCCAGTTCTGAGCTCTCCAGCTGTGTAATGATCTGGACAGTGGGGGGACTGATTAGGACCCAGGGATGCTGAGGTCTACACCCACTATGAAATTAAGATTTAGGTATAGAAACTGTGACTTAGGGACACTCAGCATCTGGTGTAGTGCTTTACACACTCACAAAGAGGAGCTAAAAGGCAACAAAAGTTCAGTGTTTCATCTCCCAGAGCATGATGGGTTTTGTATAGTAAGGAGACAGAATCAAACAAAGATCAACATGGAAGAAACGAATAAGCAGATTTTAACCTGAAAGAATGGAATATGTCAGTTCACTTCATAGTAGTTTAATGCTGACATGCACATGTGCAGGGCATGACTGCTAAGCAGTGTCTTGCTTGTTGCAGAAGGCACTGAAGGAATACAAGAAGAAAGAGTGCCTGGAAAGAGCTAGTTCTGTTTGCAGCAGTATCTCCATGGAGCTGCTCAGCTCCACCCATGCTACACACTGGGGGCCCTGTGCCAAATCAGTCCCTGGGATGACTCCGCTGGCTTATGTAACAAGGGTCTTTACATCATTTATGTAACAGAATGAGGGCAACATGAACTTGGTCCTTTGGATCATCTGGGTAAAATTTCAGGATTGCCTTCCTCAAGTTTTCCTAATCATGGGTGATCTCCACACACTGAAGTATTAGACCATCAGCTGTAAACCACTGGAATGAGTGATTCCTGTGCGGCCACAAGAGCTTAGAAAACCGTTACTGCTTTTACATGAAAGTTGTAACTCTTGCATAGTTACTTGTCTTCAGGACCCGGAGCTTTAAGAAAAGTATAAGAAGTTTTATGGACTATGATCAGAGCTGGCAACCAGGACATTTAAGTATAAAAATATGGGTTTATTAAGAGCTAAGAAGTATTACTACTTTCTTTACTGGAATCTACTTTGAGTAAGACCAGGAGCTTTAATGCGAAATAATTTTGACAGGTCTTTTGTTCAGCCTGTGGGTAGTTGCAACTCAGCTTTAAATATTGCTAACTCTACAACTCACAGAACTGGCAGGCTTGGTGGTGGTAGAGTGTCAGATGGATTATCTGGAAAACTAAACTTATCAAGGCTCTTTTAAAAGCTACTTTAAAACCACCTGCTCCCCTGCTGCCTTTACAAAGCAAAAGGCTTTGGTCTTCAGAAATGACTGGTTACCAAAGCTCCTCTCAGTACTTTTGTATTTAGTAATTAGCAAAGTGGTCTGAGCTGCTTCCTCATCTTTAAAGCGCTTGTAAGTATTTCTGTGAGGAAAGCAAGTCCTTTTATCACATTCACAAATGACATATTCTTGTACTGAGAGTTCAGTTTGACTTTGCTTATCTTGATCTTACAAGACAGCTATGGCAGCGGCAGGTTTTGAGGAAGGCTGTGCATTCCTAGCTAGTGCCCTGATCAATGAACATTTTTCTTTCCCCAGTGTTTACACCTCCTTAATTTGAATATAGTCAGAATCTCTTGCTTTCAGGCATGACGCATTTGTTGTTCACTCCTTCTAAGTAAGTTCAATGAGGTTATGTTAGATCAGGTCCTATAGAAAGAGCTGTTTGGGAATTCATTAGCTAACAAAAAGTGCACCCAAAAATTCTTCTTCAGGAGTACAGAAAAGCTCAGGAACAGTGCTGATGGGGAAGAGTTTCTCAGGCCCAGCCAGAGAGGCAGGAGGAGAGTGTCACTAACAGCCTTGGTTTTGAATTATTTATTTGGGGTGGAGGCAAGCTTCATTGAAACCCATGTCTGACTGCTTCTCTCCAGTCAGGATGAGGTCCTTCACCCCTAGGTGACACAGCTGGTCTCCACCTCTTGCACATCCTTCCCTGACAAGCTCCATGGACACCCACCAGCACAGTGCACTCTGATGAAGGAGCTGATGTGCTCCTAAGCAGTCTCTTTCTTTCTTCTGCTCATTGCTGAGCTTCAGCAAGGAAGAACAGTTTGTAGGGTTAAATCATCATCATTCTCCACTGTGAATCAGAAGATTGTTCTCCCCTCCCTTCATCCCCACAAATCACAGACTCAGAAAGACTTTTTTTCTATGTCTATATTGAGAGACATAAGCAAAAACTCCTCTTCACATGACTGTAAAAAATTAAGCTCAACACAATTGGATAAAAATGGTTTCAAAATGAAGTGTCGAAGAATAGGGCTTTGAAAGTTGAGTGCTGAGGACCTTTGAGAGTTTAGGACTCTTGAAGAAACCTCATGAAATTTTGAAATGCTGTGACAGGTCACTGCTGTCTGCTGAGTTGTACAGTATTCCCCCAACACTCAAGCGTACTTTTGCATTAAAATGACGTTTTTTCATTTTTATTTATTCTGGGAAACTTCTTTTGGCAGGGCTCCTTCACACCAACATGCCTTTAAATTATAAACTACAAGCTTATTAAAAAATGTGGGTCAATCTTTGCCCTCTGCTTTGAGAGAAATGCATCATTTTTAGAATCAAACCTGCTACCTGAATTCCAGCAGATCTGCAGGTCATAGCCACAGGGCATGTTCTCATCTTCAGGGATGGTTTTTTGATATATACTTATCATCAGTATTAGCTGAAATAATACCAATCAGTACAAATGGAAATTAAAACCTAAGCTTAAATATGGGACTGGTCATAATACCTACCATTTAGAGTAACAAGTTTCAAAAATATCCCAACACTTCCAAAATCTAGAGATCAGACCCCAGCTGCTACCTGCTAATATCCCTTGTACTACATAATAACTAATGTATCTCATCTACGCTCTGCACACAAGATTTTTTTTAAAAAGTTATTAGGGTTGCAAGTGCTAGACACTGTATTACAAAAAACATTTAGAATGGAGTTTAAATATGTGCTAGAGTATGGGTTAGTTTACTGCCAGACTTAAAAGATCTGTTTTATGTATTGAGATGATTAGAAATTCAAAAGCTTTCTGCAGTTACATAAATATTTTCAATGAAGCTAAGAAATTCATTACTACAAACATTTTATTACCGTGTCTTACAGTTTTTGGGGAGATCTGTCTTCAAAAAACATCTTAAAAATGAAATGTATAGCTTATTTCTATTATAATTTGCACTTGGAGAAAAAAGAAATCTCTGCCTTCAATAACAGATCAACAAATTCATCTGTGAATTCAAATTCTATATATCTGCAGGATTTGCATTGAAAATGGAAAAGAAATGGATAAAACCCTATTCTCTAGTAACTCTACAGACAATTCAATAGCCATAAACAGTTGCATTCATGTTATGATTACTCAATGATTGCTGGGTGCAATTTTTTGAAGGGAGACCTATGTCTGTTATAAGAGAACCCATGTCAGCTACAATAGTTATTCTTATCTCTGGTCTGTTAACATCTTGGCAAAATCACAAATTCTTGGATATTCCATTGCTAGATAAGTACAAATTTACTTATGCCTTCATAAAGACCACTATTTTCCCTCTTCTACCTTTTGAACTAGGAGTTGCCTGTTTTACCTGCTCAGAACCCTTGAAAAATACATCTAAGAGTTTCAATTAGAATGGAAATATGACATTAATGACTGAGATTTTCTCAAGAAGAACAATCAAATCCTTACTAGCTGGGATGCTATGGCAGGAGAGATAGGAAGATAGGAAGGGTCCACATTTACTTGCTGGCTACAGCAGCTGTGAACCCTTCTGAGATGTTTGGATTACAAGTCTCTTAGGAAAGAAAGAAACTTCTTTCTTTAATAGACAGCACTAGGATTTGGTTCAAAAGAGTAAGAAGCTGTGATTGTTTATAATTGGTTCTTCAATCCACAAAGTTGTTCTGAAAATAATAACCAGATTCTCTTTTGCTTTACTGCATTTCTTAATTTATCACTGGCAAGGTGTGTAAGCATGCTTACACAGATTTGATTAAAAGAATGGATAACTCCGTAGGCATGGCCATGCAGGCCTGCTTCTTGTTAATTGTTCCTTGGCTCTCTGTGTCCTTGGTGGGTCTCACAATTAGTTTTCCTCATTTCTATCTAGAGCAAGTCCATCATGACTCTGTAAATTCATGTTAGGAGTGTACAGGTCTCAACAGCAGTATTCATCTGTCTTCTTGGCTGGTCGCATGGTGGAAATCTACTGATAAATCCTTCCAAGATATGAGATTTTGTGTTTTCTGTCCTCACACAGGACTGCTCTGCCAATGCTGGTCACTGGCACTCTCCTGCATCTGTCATACCTTCTCTCACACTCTTTGTGAGATCCTCTCTGCAGATCCCTCTCTGTTACCAGCCCTCAATTCAGTAATACTTTTATTTTAAAAAAATATTCAGCTGTCTCTGTGCCTTCCTACTAACTGTCTAATTTTCATACCAGTAAAAGTCATGAAAATAAGTGTAGACTGATCTGGAGGGGAAATTCCCAGCACAGAAATTTCCAGCTAGTTCTCTCAATCAAACTAGTTCTTGTAAACAGTGCTCATAGATCTGGACTGTAACTAACCTGATAGCTATAGTTATTGGCCACAAGATAATCTGATTTTTACCACTCAGTGTAAGTGGCTTAAACCATCCTTTTTGTAATTGTGCCATCTGGAACAGACATCCTTCCCACTGCAGGCTGTGAATGGGATAGTCCTGCTGTCCTTGTTAGGTGAGAGGTATTCCTTCTGTGGCCCCTGATCAAATTTTGACACCACAGGAATATACCCAGCTTGGGTCCACAAACAGACTGTGTTATGGGGTGGGGGGACCAGCTGGTGCTGGGTCGG